TCTCTCTCTCTCTCTCTCTCTCTCTCTCTCTCCCCTCCTCTCTCTCTTCCCCTCTCCCTTTCCCTCTCCCTCTCTCTCCCTTCCTCCTTTTCTCTCTTTCCTTCCCTCCTTCCCTCTCTCTCTCCCTCTCAGAGGCCCCTCTGTTTTCCTCTGTCCTCTGTGGGCCTTGGGTCTCTTTCTCTCTCTCCATCTGTTTCTGGCTGTCCTTTCTCTTCTGTTCTTGTCTCTGCAGCTCATCTGGCTGCCCAGTGTCAGGCTTGGCTGTCTCCAGATTCTGTCCACCTGTCATCTCCACCTGGGCTCTGTCCCTTCTCCAACAGGTGCACACACAATGGAGACATTGAAACTGATGCCCACGGGTGAGAGGAGCCCAGAGCCCCAGACCTGATGGCAGGTGGCCATGACCACCCAGAGGAGGGGACAGAATCTCTGTCACACATGTACCACAGCCCCACCCATCCTGGCCATCCTCTTGGGGCTCCCAGGGCACCTACAAACCCAGCCTTGTTGCCACCACAAGAGAAACTTTGGGCTGATGTGGAACAAAGAGGGAAACCAGGCTGCAATTACCCAGCTAATTTCAGCCGTGTAGACAGGCAAATCAGACATTCCAGTTTCCTCAAAGCCCACTTCAGGGCCTGAATTAGCAGCCTAACTAATTATCTGGAGCATCCAGGAACTTGTGGCAGAGAACAGGGTCCCAACCAGTGCAGGGTGTTGGCCTGTCACATCATGGTGACGTCACCTGACTCCTCAGAGCCAGCAGCCTCTTCTTGACCAGGGTAGGAGGGAGGCAAACCAGCCTAAGGAAGGAGCAGACATCTCCCCAGCCCTGTGCTCTCCTATGTGTTCCTGTCCATGTCTGTGACCCTGCACAGAGCCTGGGACCCACTCTAGCTGGGGACCATTGAGACAGACATCTCACAGGAGCTCTGAGCACCCCAGGCAGCAGTTCTGGGGTCTGAGACCTGCTCGGGACAATGCAAGAGCCCAGAAGTGAGCTGACCTGCCACTCTTGCCTGATGCCCATGCCAGCAGGTGCTAGCCCTTCTGCCATGACTCTGGCTCCTCCTTAGGAATCTGGTCAATGTCCCCAGCCAGCTCCAGTATTAGGCCCAGCTTTGGGCCATGAGGATGGCCCTGGGCTGCGAAGGGACAAGTCCCCACACCCAGTGGTAGTCTGAGGCTGCAGAGGCCAACATCCAGACACACACAGCAGAGAGTGCCTGTCTTCAAGGCCCAGAGTAGCATACTCCTTCCTCAGCACCTTCCTGGTCCTGGGTCCAGCTGACCATGACTCCTGGGGACCATGCTGTCCTCACGCAGGTGAGTCCTGGCCAAAGGCCAGAGCTGCTCTCTCCCACCATGTCCCACTCTGCTACCACCTTGCTTCCCCACCTCCATGCTGCCCAGCCTGGGTGTGATCTGGTCCCCAGAGCTGGGCGCTGGTCCCCAGGGCTGGGCACTGCCCTCCTACCTCCCAGGGCCTGCTTCATCACGAACTCCATGATGATGGCTTGGTTCCTCGGTGACCACTGAGTCAGACCTCACATAGGAGGAAGCGGAGTCCCTGCAGGGGAGAGCACAGGGTCAGGGCCTCTCCTAGCCCCTCTGTGTCCCCTAGTCCTGCCAGGACCCCTAATGTGGGGCTTTGGCCCTCACACCCAACCCAGGATGGGCAGCCCTTGCCCAGCCAGCCCTGTGAGTTGCTACTGGGAGTCTCACAACCGGGGCCCACAGAGGAAACTGGCACCCGCCTGCAGAGAATGGGGGTGGGGCCCAGGGCATTTGAAGGTCGATGCTTTGAGAAGTGGGCTCTGATCACTGGTCTCCTGGGTGGTTGTGGCAGCCTATGGGACAAGGTCTGTCTACAGGATGGGAGGGGAGGGTGGCAGGTCCCAGGCCCTTTCTTTGTCAGCTCACAGTCTCCAGAGGCTGGGCTGTGTCCCTGGGTGACTCCAGTGACCCCCACGGCCCTCAGCACAGGACTGGAGGAGAATGAAGGGAACAGAGGAAAATGGAGGGATCCAGCACCCAGGGAAGTGGGGGCATTAGGAGTGAGGTGCCCAGGGGGCGATTCTGTGGGGGCCTCCTGAAGGCCACCGCGTTGCCGTGTCCCTGCCCCTGCCCAGAGAGGTGTCACCTGGCAGGGAAACCTGGGCTCCAGGGGACCCACTGTCTTACAGTTGTCCCTAGTCAGCCAAGGAGACCCTCTTGGGAACTTGGGGGTGGGAGGGACCCTAGTGCTGGTTGCAGGGCCTTTGCCGCAAAGCTATTCTCTTCCAAACTTCGCCCTGGCTGGGGGAGGGGACCTGAGCAGCTCTGACCCAGACCCTGGGCTCTGCAAGCGGGCAAAGGGCTGAACCGGTGGCCTCGGGGTGTCCTGAGCAAGGGGAGAGGAAAGGGGACGGGGTCGGTAGGGTGCAGAGACTGACAAGGGCGAGAGACTGCGGGGCCGCTTCAGCACCGCGAGGCGGACAGCGCCCGCTCAAGGGTGGGGGCAGATGGGTTGGCAAAGGGAGTCCAGAATTCCAGGAGTCTGGGTGGGGAGCGGGGGTCCAGGGTCGACCAGGGACCCGGAGGCATCTAGTGTTACCGGGGACGCTTGGGGTGCCGCAGGGATCTGAGGAGACAGGAGTTGGGGGGTTCCCGGGAGCTGGGCTGGGGGCTGGGGAGAGGGGCTTGGGATCGCGAAGATCGGTCACCTCGGGCAGCAGTCAGCGGCGGCGCGCGCTCGGGCTGGCGGGGTCCATGTGGCGGCTGCGGCGGCGCTGAAGGGCAGGAGGAGGGCGCGTCACTAGGAGGCGTCCGCCCCCCGCCCGCTCCGCATGACGAGGAGGGCGGGGCGCGGCTGGGGAGGGTGACAGCTGCCCCGCCCCCACCGCCGCACCTGCTGCCGCGTGAGACCCCTGAGCGACTGCCCTACGGCCTCTGCCTCTAGCCAAGCTGTCCAGTCTGGTCCAGAGCTGCGGGACCTGGCTTGGGGTCACAGGCTGAGACCCTGCCCAGCGCGGAATATGGGGCACGGACTTCTGAAGGTCACTGCGGACGCCTGCCTGCCCCCTCACCCCTTGGCTTCCCTGCCACTGCCCCGTGGGCACAGGCACCACAAGGTCGGCTCCCGCACCCATCCAAGCCCCCGTGGGACAGGTCAGGGTCGTGCAGGGACACCAGGAGCGCTGGGCTCCTGCCAAGGGAGGCTTCTGGCCACAGGTGGACACTGCAGGACGCTGCATCACCTTACCACTGAGCTTGCCTAGCGAGTCATCTGGCCTCAGCCTCCCTGGGAACCCAGTCATGTGTGCCCAGCCTCCTCTGTGGCCATCAGGGACCCCCAAGAAGTCACCCAGGCTGAAGGAAGCTGAGGGGAGGTGCTGGGCCATCCCAGGAGTCCCAGCGCTACCCACTTCTCTTGCTGCAGGGGGTACCCCCAAAGCTACAGGGGGCCTGATGGCACCAGGTAGCCCTGGAGTACTAAGGACCCTAAATCCTGAGTGTGACGTGGGGTCACTTGATCCCACACTGCCCAGCCTGCCCCCCAGGGTGCCAGATCCAGGGTGATGTGATGGCCACAGGAGGGATGTGGCCTAGGAAGGGGAGGTTGCACCCTGTAAGACCCCAGGGTAGCCCCATTCTGAACCAGGACCATCACTCCTTACGTCTTGGGCAGTTTGCTTGGTCCCAGCAGCACCAGGGAGTGCGAATCCCTTAGGACCGGAACGTCCAGGGTCTGAGCTTCCTAGCTGGAGCCTAAGGCCAGTTCCACCCTATAGACCCAGGGCCAGAGTACCCTGCACTGACCAGCAGACTCTCTGGGGATGCAGAACTAGCCATGTGGACAGGGACAGACCCTATCCAGAAGATAGAGCTCCTACCAGCCTTGGATTCTGTCCCATCTCCTTCAGTCTCTCTGTGTCTGTCTCTCCATTTCTGTCCATCTCTCTGTCCTTACTGCATTCATCTGCCTACACAGGCAGCCGCCCTTCTCAGCCCGCTTGTTCAGGCTGAGCTAGGGTGGGATCCAGCCCTGACTGGCCACAACAAGGCTCTTCTGGAAGGCCTAAGGACAGTCACAAGCCTCAGTCCCACCCAAGGAGATGTTGGAGCACAGGGGAGATGAATGGAGGTGGGATGAGAGGCCCATAGCCAGTGAGAAGATGGTGTGGAAGGTGGTGGGGTGCTGGGAGAGTTTCCGCGCATCACTTCCCACCCTGGTGGGGCCTTGTGCACCTCTGTCACAGGACCCATGTGGCTGAGGTGGCTCCCAGAAACTACAAATGCAAACTCCACGAGGTAACACCTAGCGTGGCACTGAGTGCCATTATTTCCGGAAAGATTTCGTCTTCATTTGAAAGATGACCACATGAGAAGCAGGATGCAAGATCATCCTTGTCCCCGAGTGGAGTCAGGTAGGGGGAATGCTTCTCAGCCATGCAGCCAACACCTGGACAGTGAGCACTGGCCAGGAGTCCTGGACATGCTGCCTTTTGGTCATGGCATTTGGGAGAGGGACAGAGGAGCAGCATCTGGAGTGCTGGGAGGGGGAAGATGCAGGCCACTTGGTGGCATCACCAAACAGGGTCCCATCCCAGGCCTTGCTGTCTCTCACATGGGAGCCCAGCCCATTCTTCTGGCCTTGAAAGCCATGATGGCCGTGACTGATGCTCCAGGCACAGCACAGGTGAGCTGCCCCGGCCCCAGCCTTGGCTCTCAGCCTCCTGGGGATCTCAGGATGGTGCAAAACACCAGGGGATCCCAGGCCTGAGGGGGCCAGACTGACTTGTACACAGGCCACATGACACACCCCCCGGCGTGGGGGATCGCTGCATCCTCTGTGGCCTGCAGGCCCCCAAGCAACTAGGGCAGAGCCAGGCCATCCAGGTGCTGGCGAGCAGGCCCAGCACCCTGGCTAGGGACTGAGAAGTTCTAAGCTGAGCAGGCTACAGACCGGAGCCTCTGTGTGGCCTCCCAGGGCTGCCCCGGTATGGAAGATGGTGGCCCTTTGCGAACCAGGACCCTAAGTCTGGAGCTCCACTGCCAATCACCATCCAGGGAAAGCGGGCTGCCTCCTTCCTTCCTTCCTTTCTTTTTCTTTCTTTCTCTCATTGGTTCGTTCATTCTTTCATTCGTTTTTTCTTTCTTTCTGCCTCCATCCTTTCTTTTTCTTCTTCTTTTTTGTCTTTTTGAGACAGGGTCTTACTATGCAGTTCAGGCTGACCTTGAGCTTACTTTGTATCCCAGGCCAATCTCAAATCTGCAGTGATCCTCTTGCCTCAGACTTCCAGGTGCTGGGATTATAGGCATGCCCCAACTCACCCCACCCTGTTTGGTTTTCTTTTAGTACCAGGAATCAAGCTCAGCACCTTATACTTGCCAGGCAGGTACTGGGTCCCTAAGCTATACCCTAAGCCTCCATCCTTTGTCCTGCTCACCTTGTGCCATCAAAGGCCACCTGCCTCCTGTCTCCTGGCCTGGAGTCTCAAGACACCCTCAGAGGCCTTGACATAGAGCAGAGCCTGGAATGACTGGTGTTGGGGTGAGAGTTGAACTTTCAGCCTGGGGCGAGGTCACTTTGCTGTGGGGCTATAGTGGGTGGGTGCTGTGGTGACAAGCTGTGGCCCAGTCCCCACATGCTGCTGTGCTGGGAGGACAGTGCCCAGCTGCAGGAGCTGAGAGGCACAGGGACCTCTGGGGGTACATGGGAGAGGCATGCCAGGACTGCATCTTGGCATCCTCTTGTCTTGAGCTCTTGCAGTCTCTCTGTAAGTCTGCTTTTTAGGAATACAAGTGAAGGACCAAGCAGCCCATTTCCCAACAGCAAAAAAAAAAAAAAAAGCTCCCTAGCCGGTCCAGCTGTGCCCAGCCACCACCATGATGGAGCCAGGAGCAACACAATGGCCACTCAACGCACAAAGCCTCAGCCACCAGCAGGAGGGGTAGCCTTGTCAGTCCCCCACCTGGGCTCTGTCTGGGCCAGCCAGGCCCAGCTTATATACCCTGGGAGTCATCTGAGGCCCACATGACTTCTGTGGCCACAATGACTTGGGGAAGGATGGGCGAGGCTGGTTGTGGCTGGTGTCATGGAATGATAGGGAGTGTGGACATGTCACTCATGTGAGGAGCACACAGGTAACAGCAGCGCAAGGTACAGAGCCGGACGTGAGACCCCTTGCCACCCTCAGACAAGGGAGAGCCTGTGGGTGTGGCTCTATCCAGACCTGAAAGGAAGGACACAAGTTGGATCCTGATGTGCAACAGCTAGATGGCAAAGCCTGAGGTAGAATCAGACTGGAGGCGGGAGAGTCACAGCTGCTGAGGGCAGCACCCCATGGAGGGGACTGGTGCAGAGGCCAAGAGGTGCCCCTTGGGGTCCACTGGGTGCTACTGAGCCTGGCAAGTGAGAGGTATGGGGCTGAGAAGGGGCTGGGAGTGTCCCTGGGGGGAGAACCCACAGGATCTGCATTCAGGCTGAGGGCTCAGCGCCTCATCTTCCAGTCATCACTCGAGGAAAACTCTTGCTGCCCCAGGTCTGGGACCTGCCCCTCTGAACTCAGCATCCTGGGCCTGTGCGTTCCTGGGCAGCTCTTTCCAATCAAGCACGGCCAGAACCTCTTTTTGCCAGTCCTGGTGCCAGCACAGGCTGCTCCTGTCTAACCCTAAGGGACCTCTTTAAAATTATTTATTTATTTATTTATTTATTTAATGGGTACAGGGTCTCCCTATGTACCTCAGACTCATAGTGATCCTCCTGTCTCACAGGCACTTAGACCACCGAGCGATCTCCCCAGCTGACCCTGGGGCATCTTCTTCCAAAGTTCATAGTGTCAATTCAATAAAAGTAGAATAAATATTGAGCCATGGGTTTTTAAACCACAATACCAACAATGAACTAGCAGAGACCCTCAGACTTTCTGTGTGCCAGCTACGTCCTGGGCGCCATGCTGGCCCACAGCTGGGGAGGTGCCCAGGCGGAGGGGGGGGTCATAGGGCCCGCAGCACAGAACGCAGAGTGCATGTTCTCAGCTGGTGCCTGGGCCTGTGCCCTCCGGGTCTGGATGACGCAGGGACAGTCCCTCTGAGGTACAGGCTCAGAGGTCTGCCTGAGCTGAGCTGCATGGAAAAGGGGAGATCGCACCCAGAACTGTGAAGAATCTGACAGGTATGGGGAAGCAAAGGGATTCCATGTGTGGGGACACCGCTCTAGACCCTGCAGGCCTCCAGGGAAGGGTAAGTAGGGACAGCCAGGACTCTATGACGGTGGCCCAGGTCATGCACCCCAAGGACCAGCACCACAGCAAGGTGGTTGGCATCTTCTGCAGAACAAGCCCAGAGAGAGGGCGGTAACAAGGAGGTACTAGGGAAACTGAGGTCAGGGCTACAGTCACCATAATGGCAAGTTGAGGACACAATAGGGATGTGTTGTGTCCACAAGGCAAGTCAGGCAACCACATAGGACTCAACCCACAAGGGCTGAGATGGGCTGGGGAGATGCTCAGTAGAATAAGTGCTTGCCTGGCAAGCACAAGGGCCTGAGTTCAATTCCTGGTTCCGCCAAAAAAAAAAAAAAAAAAAAGCGGTAAGAGCAGGCATAATTCAGAGCCAGAGAGCAACATCCTTTCAGCAATCAGGGTCTGCTGGACACAGGGACACAAAGGGAGAGGTTCACCCCTACACACCTGCTGCTTCCTGCCTGCCGCTGCTGCTCCCTCCACTCCTGATGCCCACGTCACTGTTGGTCTGGCTGTGATGAATACAGGT